TAATTACGAGTTAGTCCTTGACTTACGACTGTTCCTTTAGCAACCGTTCAAAGTTAGAACCAGGCTGGGCGGGGGGAAATTGAATCACATCTGGTCCTCGCATTTACAACCGGTCCTCGCAGTTACGACCGTTGCCGCATCCCCACAGTGCTGGGAGTGCTTGGCAGCCAGCGTGCATTTAACAACGGTTGCGACATTGCTGGAGTCGTTTTGTCACCTTCATTTGTCATCTGTTCTGCTTGAGCAGGGGGCTGGACTAGAAGACCTCCAAGGTCCCTTCCAGCTCCTATTCTTTATTCTATTCTATTTCTATTTTTTATTCTATCCTATTCCTATTCTATTCTATTTTCTATTCTATTCTATTTTTTATTGTATCCTATTTCTATTCCATTCTAGTCTAGTCTAGTCTAGTCTATTCTTATTCTATTTTTATGTTACTCTATTCTTTTTTGTTTTCTATTCTATTCTATTTTTTATTTTATCCTATTTCTATTCTATTCCATTCTAGTCTAGTCTATTCTTATTCTATTTTTATGTTATTCTATTCTATTTCCTATTTTATTTTGTATTCTATTCTATTCCTTATTTTATTATTCTATTCTATTCCCTATCTATTCTATTCTATTCTATTTTCTATTCTATTCTATTCTATTCTACTCCTTATTTCTATTCTAATTCCATATATTCTATTCTATTATTCTATTCTATTCTATTCTATTCCTTATTTCTATTCTAATTCCATATATTCTATTCTATTCTATTTTAGTCCAGTCCAGTCCAGTCCAGTCCAGTCTAATCTATTCTTATTCTATTTTTATGTTACTCTATTCTATTCTGTTTTATATTCTATTCTATTTTTTATTTTATCCTATTTCTATTCTATTCTATTCTATTCTATTCTATTCTATTCTATTCTATTCTATTCTATTCTTATTATTTGGACAAGCAAAGTCTGCTGGATTCGCTTAACCCCCACAGCCCTTTACTTAATAACCCTGGCAAAAAAATGCTTTTCAAATCAGGCGCCAGTCTCTTAAAAAACCGCCTCGCTCAGCAACGGAAAGCCTGGATTCCTGTTGTCGTAGGTCGAGGACCACCTGCGCCTGCTTAAATTTCGGGGAAGCTCGGCCTAGTGGTCGCCGCTGCTGCGGTTCGCCCTGACCCCCCCCCTTCCCCTTTTTCCAGTCCTGCAGTACGCCGGCCAGCCGTTCGACCACTCGCCCATCCGCTTCTGCGCCCGCAACGGCGAGTACGTGACCATCGACACCAGCTGGTCCAGCTTCGTCAACCCCTGGAGCCGCAAAGTGTCCTTCATCATGGGCCGGCACAAAGTCCGGACGTGAGTGCGAAAGCTGCTGGATGACCAGATAACCTTGGCTGGTGAAAGACGGGTGGACTTCATCTCCCAGGATTCCCCAGCCAGCGTTGCTGGCTGGGGAATCCTGGGAGATGAAGTCCACCCGTCTTCCACCAGCCAAGGTTGAGAAATACTGCAATGGGGAGCCAGCTGTGGAACTACAGAGCACAGGATCCACTTTAGCTGTGCTGGCTGAGGATTCTGGGCGTTGCAGTCCCAGCCTTTCTGGAAGACAGCGCCCCTGGTCAGTGGGGAAGGGGCAAAGGGGGAGCGTGAGAGGGTCTCCTCATCTTCCGCCTTTGCTGATCTCAGGAGCCCCCTGAACGAGGACGTCTTCACCGCCCCCAAGGCCTTGAAGTCCAAGGCTCTGGACGTGGACATCCAGGAGCTCTCCGAGCAGATCCATCGGCTCCTGTTGCAGGTGAGGCCTTCCCTTCCCTTCCCTTCTTTGGACTTCCTCTCCCCTCCCTCCCTCCCTCCTTCCATTCTACCTTCCTCCCTTCTTTCCTTGCCCTCCCTCCCTCCCTCCCTTCATTTCTTTCTTCACTCCCTGCCTGTCTCCCTCTCCTTTCCCTCCTTCCTTCCTTTTCATTCTACCTCCTTTCCTTCCTTCCTCCCTCCCTCCCTCGTCATTCCCATCCCCTCCCTCCCTCCCTATCTGCCTGTCTGCCTCCCTCTCCTTTCCCGTTCCTTCCTTCTCTCCCTCCTTCCTTCTCCCTCCCTCCCTCTCCTTCCTTCCTTCCCTCCCTCCCTCCCTCCCTCCTTATTCCAATCTCCTTCCCTCACTCAATCCCTCTTATCCTTCCTTCCTCCTCCCTCTCCCTTTTTTTCTTCCTCTCTCTTTTCCCTTCCTCCCTCCCCTCCCCTCGGCTCTAACCCTGCTCCTGTCTCCCTGCCAGCCTGTGCACAGCAGCGGCGCCCTCGGCCTGTGCAGCAACTCGGCCTCCCACGAGCAGTTCCTCAGCATCGCCTCCTCCAGCGACAGCAACGGCTTCTCCCCAGAGGAGGCCCAGGCTCTCCGGCCGGTAAGCGCAGGGAGGGTCCAGGGTCTCTCAGGGCGGGGGTTGGGGGGTGGGTTTTTCGTCCAAGCAGCTTTTGTCTCGTGGGGTCCAGGTGGCATCGTCCTAAACCCCTTCCCCCCGGCTGGGGGGATTCCCGAAAGAGTCCACTTTGGAATTGAGGGAGGCCTCCTGCCAAAACTTTGGAGCGTGGGAGGGCGTGTAGCCTGTCCGAATGGAGGGGGAGGATCTGGGGGATCGGGCCATCCTCACTCTGCCTGCCTCTGGATCCCAGATGACCTTCCAGGAGATCTGCAAGGATGTCCACATGGTGAAGAACCAGGGCCAGCAAGTCTTCATTGAGTCCCGAGTCAAGCCGGTGCCCGTCAAACCCTTTCGGCCAGGTAAGAAGCGTGCCAATCACCCTCCTCTTCCTTGCTCTCCTCCTTTAATCCCTTCTCTTCTTCCTTTTCTTCCCTGTCCTCCACATCCACCCGTTTTGCTCCTCTTCCTCCTCCTCCTCCCCCTCATTGCACACACAAACCCATGAGCCACTGCAGTGCCTTTATACGGGTAACTTTTGCCCCAAATCTCCTGCGTTTCCTCCACCTGCCTTGAGGTCTGGGAAACCCAGGATGAAGGTTGTTCTTCCTCTTCCCTTCCTTCCCTCTCCAGCTCTGGATCCACTCATCGGTCACGCCGGGCAATCCAGGGAGGTTTTGAGAGAGGCAGAGAAGAGGACGGTCAAGGCAGCCACCTCTGAGGACTCCGTGCGGAAGGAGCCTTCCAACTACTCCTACCAGCAGATCAACTGCCTGGATGTCATCATCCGGTAAGGCTTTGGCCAAATGGACAGCGCTCCCAGTTTGGGCGAGAGGATTTGCTGTCAACCTTTGGAGATCTCCCTCAGATTCCTCCTTCCACGTCTGCTATCGGCGATAAAGCAGTTTAGTTAGAAGATTCCTGTGCAGAGGCTTTCAGCGATAAAACAGTTTCGGTAGAAGATTCCTGCGCATAGGCTTTCAGCGATAAAGCAGTTTAGTTAGAAGATTCCTGTGCAGAGGCTTTCAGCGATAAAACAGTTTCGGTAGAAGATTCCTGCGCATAGGCTTTCAGCGATAAAGCAGTTTAGTTAGAAGATTCCTGTGCAGAGGCTTTCAGCGATAAAATAGTTTAGGTAGAAGATTCCTGTGCAGAGGCTTTCGGCGATAAAGCAGTTTAGGTAGAAGATTCCTACTCAGGCTTTCAGCAATAAAACAGTTTAGTTAGAAGATTCCTGCTCAGAGGCATTCGGCAATAAAGCAGTTTAGGTAGAAGATTCCTGTGCAGAGGCTTTCGGCGATAAAGCAGTTTAGGTAGAAGATTCCTGTGCAGAGGCTTTCGGCGATAAAGCAGGTTAGTTAGAAGATTCCTGTGCATAGGCTTTCAGCAATAAAACAGTTTAGGTAGAAGATTCCTGCTCAGAGGCATTCGGCAATAAAGCAGTTTAGGTAGAAGATTCCTGCTCAGAGGCATTCGGCAATAAAGCAGTTTAGGTAGAAGATTCCTGTGCAGAGGCTTTCGGCGATAAAGCAGGTTAGTTAGAAGATTCCTGTGCATAGGCTTTCAGCAATAAAACAGTTTAGGTAGAAGATTCCTGCTCAGAGGCATTCGGCAATAAAGCAATTTAGGTAGAAGATTCCTGTGCAGAGGCTTTTAGCAATAAAACAGTTTAGTTAGAAGATTCCTGCTCAGAGGCTTTCAGCGATAAAGCAGTTTAGTTAGAAGATTCCTGTGCAGAGGCTTTTAGCAATAAAGCAGTTTAGGTAGAAGATTCCTGCGCAGAGGCTTTCGGCAATAAAGCAGTTTAGGTAGAAGATTCCTGCGCAGAGGTATTCGGCAATAAAACAGTTTAGTTAGAAGATTCCTGCTCAGAGGCATTCGGCAATAAAGTAGTTTAGGTAGAAGATTCCTGTGCAGAGGCTTTTAGCAATAAATCAGTTTAGTTAGAAGATTCCTGCGCAGAGGCTTTTAGTGATAAAGCAGTTTAGGTAGAAGATTCCTGCGCAGAGGCTTTTAGTGATAAAGCAGTTTAGGTAGAAGATTCCTGCGAAGAGGCTTTCAGCAATAAAGCAGTTTAGTTAGAAGATTCCTGTGCAGAGGCTTGCAGCAATGAAGCAGTTCAATTGGTCCGTCACGTGTACACCCGTGCCTGACCCTTGGCTGTCCTTTCACACCTCCCCCCCCTTCTTCCCTCCCTCCAGATACCTGGAAAGCTGTAACATCCCCATCCGGGTCAAACGCAAGTGCGGTTCCTCCTCCTACACCGCCTCCTCCAATTCGGACGACGACAAGCAGAAAGGGCGCGAGCGGGCGGCTGTGCGGAGCAAAGGTGGGTTTCCTCCCCTCCCTGCCCCTCCGGAGGCGACGAGGGGTAAGGGGGAAGGAGGCCCACGGCGAAGACCCGAAGAGGGGCTAGGCAGAGCCCTTGGGGCTTTAAAGGAAAGGCCGAGAAGAGGGGACAATGAGAGGGGAAGAAACCACGGACCCTGCCTCTGCCCCGAAACGACGACGAGGGCGAAGCCCCAGGGGTCTCGACGACGACGACCGAAGGATTCTGAGGGGGGTCTTCCCATGGTGCTGGAGGGGGGGGAACCCACCCAGATGGGGTTTTTTTCCGGCTGTCTCCGGGCCTGCCTCGCAGGGGTAAACCCGACCGACGTTTTGGCATCGGGATTCCCCTTGCCTCGAGTTCTAATCCAGCTCTGTCTCTTTTGGTCAGCCCTGGGACGTTTCCCCCTTGCCTCGAGTTCTAATCCAGCTCTGTCTCTTTTGCTCAGCCCTGGGATGTTCCCCCTCCCCTTGCCTCGAGTTCTAATCCAGCTCTGTCTCTTTGGTTTGGTCGGCGCTTCTCGGAACCCCTGGGAAAACCCCCCTCCCCGCCTTGCCTCGAGTTCTAATCCAGCCCTGTCTCTGTCTCTCTGGACAGATGCGCCCGAGGAGAGGCTGCCGGCCAGAGACAGCCAGCCAGAGAGGAAAGAGCCCGGAACGGCGGCAGCTGCCGCCGTGGTGGGTGGCCCTCTCACTCCGCTGGCCTTGCCTAGCAAAGCCGAGAGCGTGGTGTCCGTCACCAGTCAGTGCAGCTTCAGCAGTACCATCGTCCACGTGGGAGACAAGAAGCCCCCGGAGTCGGGTAGGGGAACATCCAGGCCGGGGTGGGTGGGTGGGGGAGGCGGCACTGAGGTGGGGGAGGGGGAGTCGAAGGAAGGGAGACGGGCCGGGGAAGGGTCAAGGTGGGACGCAGCTTGGGGGGAGGGAGAGTGGGGTGGGGTCTTCGATTGGAGAGTTGGGTATGCTTTGGGGCCACGTTGGGGCCCTTCGCCCTTCTTCCCCGTGAGATAAATTGGAAATTAGAAATTAAATGTAAATAAGGCGCAGTCTGTACAGGTAGTCAAATAAGGGATAGGGATAGAATAGAATAAGAATAGAATAGAATAGAATAGAATAGAATAGAATAGAATAGAATAGAATAGAATAGAATAGAATAATAGAACAGAACAGAACAATAAAATATAGAATAGAATAATAAAACATAGAATAGAATAGAATAATAAACCAGAATAGAATAGAATAGAATTATGGGAATAGAATAGAAGGAGGGATAGAACAGAATAGAATAATAATAGAACAGAATAGAATAATAATAGAATAGAGTAGAATAATAGAATGGAATAATAATAATAAAACAATAAAATAATAGAACAGAATGGAATAATAACAATAGAACAGAATAGAATAATAATAGAACAGAATAGAATAATAATAGAACAATAGAATAATAATAGAATATAATAATAATAGAATAGAGTAGAATAATAGAATAGAATAATAATAATAAAATAGAATAATAATAGAATGGAATAATAATAACAGAATAGAATAATAATAATAGAACAGAATGGAATAATAGAACAAAACAGAATAGAATAATAATAATAGAACAGAATGGAATAATAAGAATAGAACAGAATAGAATAATAATAGAACAGAATAATAAGAACAGAATAGAATAATAATAATAGAATAAAGTAAAGTAGAATAATAATAAAATGGAATAATAATAATAGAACAAAATAGAATAATAATAATAAAATAGAATAATAATAGAATGGAATAATAATAGAATAGAATAATAATAATAGAATAGAATAATAATAATAGAATAGAGTAGAATAATAGAATGGAATAATAATAAAACAGAATGGAATAATAAGAATAGAATAGAATAATAAGAATAGAATACAATACAATACAATAGAATCAAATCACAGAGCTGGAAGGGACCTTGGAGGTCTTCTAGTCCAACCCCCTGCTCAGGCCGGAGACCCTGTAGGCCATTTCAGACCAATAGTCCTTGATTTAGGAGCACAATTCAGCCCCAACCTTTCCGTTGCCAAGCAGGAGAGAGTGAAGCGAGCTTTGTCCCGTTTTACGACTTTTCTTGCCACAGTCGTTATGCTGAATCGCTGCCGTTGCTAAGTTTGTGCAGTTAGTCCTTGACTTAACAACCGTTCGCTTCGTGATTGAAGTTACAACAGCACTGAAAAAAAGGACCATTTTTCACACTTAATGACCGTTGGCGGCCTCCCCCTGGTCACCCGATTTACATTTGGACGCTGGACAAGCGACTCACATTTACGACGGTCGTAGTGTCCCCGGGGGGGACCAGCAAAGTCCCTTAATGGCCGTGTGGCTAACTTTAACGACCGCTGTTGGCAGTGATTCACTTAAACAAAACGGTGAGGGAAGGTCGTATAAACGGGGCAAAACCCAACTCGACCCATGTCTCGCTTAGCGACATCAATTTTGGGGGCTCCGTTGTGGTCGTACGTCAAGGACTACAGCTCCGTTCCCGCCAGTAGCAGCCAATCAAAAACCGTACCATGGAGTAAAATCCAAAAAAAGGACAAATCAAAAACAAGGAAAACCAATAACTGGAGAGAATTAAGTGCAGCCAGTCATTTGGCCCATCGCCACGGTCCCAGTTGTTCATGGGGGGGGTCCCTTACCTGCAAACCCTCCCCCCCACACACACACACTCTATTTGCCTTTGGGGACTCATCGCAACTGGATGGCTTGGCCATTTATTTATTTCTGGCATTTTATTTCCTGCTCATCACGTAGCCAATGACTCCAGGTGGCTTACGGCATTAAAATTATATATATATATGTATATATGTGTGTTTGTGTATGTATGTGTGTGTGTGTGTGTGTGTGTATAGTCTCTAAAATTATACTAAAAATGCGAATCCCGGGTATATTTATGTTGAGAAAAGTAGTCGAACACCGGGATAAATATAAAAACCACTGTTTAATAAACTAACAACTGTTTGATAAACTTAGCTTTTGGCGGCTAACTGCTGACGTCGTCAGAGTGGAATGCCGGAGGTTCGGTTGCCGACGTTTATCAAACAGTTGTTAGTTTATTAAACAGTTGTTTTTATATTTTATCCCGGTGTTCGGCTACTTTTCTCTACATACATACATGCATACAATTTTAAATACTTGAATCCTAGGTGTAAACGTTTAGAAAACTAATAAGGCTACTGAAAAAAGAGCCTTTTTAATTAACTGAGCTTTTGTCAACTTTTAGCCTTTAGCCCTTACTTTGATGATGTCAACAGGAGGTTGATGAAAGCTCAGTAATTAAAAAGGCTCTTTTGTATCCCGGAGTTCAGCAGCTTTATTAATTTTATATATATGTGTATGTGTATGTATATATATAATATATACATATATATGCTTTTATTGCCATAAGCCACCTGGACTCATTGGCTACGTGTGTATGTAATATATATATGTGTGTGTGTGTGTGTGTGTGTGTGTGTGTGTATGTATATTGTATAGATATAGATATAGACAGATAGAGATAGATATATAGATTGATATAAATATATAGAGAGATATAGAGATGGATGGATAGATAGATAGATAGATAGATAGATATAAATGAAATAGATAATGATAGATATAGATGATGATAGATAGATAGATAGATAATAGACAGACAGATAGACAGATAAATAGATAGATAGACATTAGATAGATAGATAGATAGATAGATAGATAGATAGATAGATAGATAAATAGAGAGACGTTCTATTGATCCTATCTAATTTGGTGTTTGTCAACCTTGGCGACTTTTAAGACGGCCTCATTTTACGACCGTTTTTTTGTAATGTCGTTAAGCGAGCAAAAATGAACGTATTGGTGAGCCTCCAGTCATGGGAGGGGGATGTGGCTTTTGGAAGTTCAGAGTTGATAATAGTAATGATGATGATGATGATAAAGAGGGAGAAGGAGTAGTAGTTGGAAGGGACCTTACAGGTCATCTAGTCCAACCCCCTGCTCAGGCAGGAAAAGACACTCCAGGCAGTGTCACAAGGAACTTTTTTTTTTGAGGGGGGGGGGCTCTGTCACAACTTCAAACGATCACTAAGCGAGCCCTTACAAATCGAGGACTACTTTTTTTAAACACACTCCTTCGTTGGAAGACCCGCAAAGAAAGTCCGCGCAGACATCGGGAGCCAAAGGCAAACAACATGCCCGTTTTTTAAAATCCCAAGAAATTTCGAAGGGGGGCACCGTTCGAAGTGAGACAATGGCATGGGAGGGGGGGGAGAAGTGACCTGGGGCCCGTTTTTCACCCTTAGCGACCGTCGATCAAAATTCAGACGCTCGGCAGCCGACTCCCGTTTACGACGGTTGCAGCGTCCCCTTTTGGCCGACCGTCTGACCAGCGAAGCCAAGAGAGAAAGCCAGATTTGCTTCACACAACCGTTGTTACGAATTGAAGAATCACGGTGGTTGGCTTGAACGACTCCCGGCGAGAAAGGCCGTAAAAACGGGGCAAGACTCGCTTAACGACCGTTCCAACCGAAGATTTTGCGCTCAACGTTTTTAAAGAAGAGACTGGACAGCCCTTTGTCTGAAATGGTCTAGGGTTTCCTGCCTGAGCAGGGGGTTGGACTAGATGACCTCTAATGTCTCTTCCAACTACTACGACTACTGCTACTATTTCTTCTTCTTCTTCTTCTTCTTTTTTTTTTTCTTCTTCTTCTTTCTTCTTCTTCTTCTTCTTCTTCTTCTTCTTCTTCTTCTTCTTCTTCTTCTTCTTCTTCTTCTTCTTCTTCTTCTTCTTCTTCTTCTTCTTCTTCTTCTTCTTCTTCTTCTTCTTCTTCTTCTGCTCCTACTTCTCCTCCTACTTCTCCTCCTTCATTTCTTCTCCTCCTGCTCCTCCTCCTCCTCCTCATTATTATTATGATAATGATGTTGTGGTCGTAAGTCAAGGACCAGCTTACTTAAGAGGAAGGCCCAAGCGTGTAAAACATGGAGGATGGTGTATTTCAAGGAAAGCCATGGAAGGGCTGACCTCTTTTCTTTCCCCTGTTTCCTCCTCTTCCTCCTGGCCCCCCACTTTGCCCCCTCCCCAGATATTGTCATGATGGAGGAGACGGCGCCCAGCGCCACCCCGCCCGTCCCTCCGCCCGGTCTGACCCCCGACCGCGAGCAGCAGTACCGCCGGGTGGGCCTGACCAAGGAGGTCTTGTCCGTCCACACGCAGAAGGAGGAGCACGCCTTCCTCACCCGTTTCAAGGACCTCAGCCAGTTGCGCGTCTTCAACTCCCCCTCCAGGCCCAGCTGGCAGGAGCTGCATCGGCCCCGGGGCCAGGAGGAGCGAGGTGATCCTGGAGGAGGGGGAGACACGGGGTCGGGAGTAGGGTGGAGCCCTCCTCTCCTTTTCGCTCTTCCCCTCCCCTTTGCTTCCTCCTTCCTTCCTTCCTTCCTTCCTTCCTTCCTTCCTTCCTTCCTTCCTTCCTTCCTTCTTTCTGCCCCCCAGCCCTTCTGCCACTGAGTAGGTTCCCTAGTTGGGTCACGAAACGTCTGCAAGAAAACTACCCAGCTCAGGGACCACCAAGGACTCTCACAGTTCTCCTCCTCCTCCTCCTCTCTGCTTATCCCCCTCCTCCTCCTCCTCCTCCTCCTCCTCCTCCTCTCTGCTTATCCCCCTCCATTCTTGCACTGATGACGTCCCTTAGTTGGGTCACGAAACATCTGCAAGAAAACAACCAAGCTCAAGAGAGTATCAAGGACCCCACAGTCGTCGTCCTCCTCCTCCTCCTCCTCCTCCTCCTCCTCCTCCTCCTCCTCCTCCTCTCTGCTTATCCCCTCCATTCTTGCACTGATGACGTCCCCTAACTGGGTCATGAAACGTCTGCAAGAAAACTGCCAAGCCCAGACAGCACCAAGGACCCCACAGTCGTCGTCCTCCTCCTCCTCCTCCCTCACCCCCTTCTAGCATTGATGGTGTTAACTAGTTGGGTCATGAAACATCTGCAAGAAAACAACCAAGCTCAGAGCACCAAGGACCCCACAGTCCTCCTCCTCCTCCTTTTCCTCCTCCTCCCCCCCCCCCCCCTCCCTTCTAGCACTGATGATGTTCCCTAGTTGGGTCATGAAACGTCTGCAAGAAAACAACCAAGCTCAGGGACCACCAAGGACCCCACAGTCCTCCTCCTTCTGTCCTTCTCTCCTCTTCCCTCTTCCTCCTTCCTCTTTCTCTTCCCTCCTTATTCTTTCCTTCCTGTTTTTCCTCTCCTTCCCTCCGTCTTCCTCTTCCTTCTTCCTTCCTTCCTCTTCCCTCCGCCTTCGTCTCCTTCCTCCTCCTTCTTATCCCTCCCTTCCTCTTTTTTCCTCTTCCTTCTCCCTCCTGCTGCCTCTTTCCTGCTCCTTCCTGCCCTTCCTCCCTCCTCCTCCTTCTCACCTTCTTCCCTTTCGCTTCCGCAGGATCCAGAGGTCTGCGCCATGGACCTCGCGGGCCGAGGCGCGGCCGGAAGTCCAGGGCCAAGCGCATCCGGCAGAACAAATCCTCAGACAGCTCCAGCTCTCCCCAGACCTCAGCTGGGTCGCCCCCCCAGATATCCTGTCCCCCAGCTGCCCCCTCTTGGGCACCCTCGGGCCCTTCCCCGCCCACCCTCCCAAACATGTCCTACCCGGCCGTCATGCCCACTTACCCGATCCCCGTCTTTTCCCCTCGCCCCACGGTGCCCCCAGGCGCCGAGCCTTCGCAGACCCTTTTGCCAGCCCTTCAGTTCCCCGCCCCCCTCGCCACCCCTATGGTGGCCCTAGTCCTGCCCAATTACGTCTTCCCCCAGATCAACAGCCCCCTTCCCCAGACGTACTTTCCCGGCGGACCCCTTTTCCCCTTCGGACCGCCACAGCCGGGCAGCATGCTAGCCCCCGGGCCCGAAGCCCGCTCTTCCACCCCGCACTCGATGAGCCAGCCCGAGCGGGCCGAATCCCCACTCTTCGAATCGCGCTGCAGCTCCCCGTTGCAGCTGAACCTGCTCCAGATGGAAGAGCTACCCAAGCCGGGCGACCGGCAAGAAGCTAGCGCGAGCAGTCACGCGGGACCAGCCGGCACCTCTGCAGACTGGGCTGGAGTGGCCAGCGGGCAGGGCGTGGTGAACGAACTCGGCCCTCCGAAAGATACCTGCATGGTGAGCGGCGCCAGGGCTAAAGTGTTCTCAGTCCGTCCGAGCGGAGTCCTCTTCCTGGGAACGAGTCAGATCTCGGATCCCGCGGGAAGGCGGTCATCGCGGACCGCGGGATGGCCTGTCCTTCCTCCTTCGGCCCCCGAGATGCCTCCGTTCCTAGCAACGAGTCGGTTCTAGATTCATTCTGGAAGCTGTACGATCCCAATCCGGGACTTCCACCTTTCTGTTTTATAATTTTTAGTCACTTGTAGCATAAAATGGAAAGATACAAAAGCGAATAATAAGGAACAAAGGTAGGGGAAAGGGAAGGGAAAGAAGAAAAAAGGCTGTGTTGCAGTAAAATAAGGCATTACATTAACATTGATCTTCAGCTTTTTACATTTCTATAGTAGTATGAACTAGCCATTTCTATATCAACAAATCAATCTAAAAGCCAAAATCCAAAAGATCCTTTTTTTTTCGCCTCAAGCACAAAATCCCTAAGCGGTTTCCAAGTAGAAACAAGAGTACTTAATATTCTTTTTTTTTTTTCATCAAAACGGTCGATTTAGCCATCTCGGCTAATTCGCTCATTTTTTGTAGCCATCCATTTATGGGGGGGAATCGCAAACATCCTTCCATTTTGGGGCATAGAGCAGGAGTCCCCCAACCTTGGCTACTTTATGACTTGTGGGCTTCAACTCCCAGAATTCCTCAGTCTTTTCCCATTAGACCCAGAAGGAAAGCTTCTGGTTTAATCTACATATTCACGTTAAGGATTTTCTGCATTAAAATACGAATCCTACTCCAATATTTCTGTGGTTTATCACATGTCCACCATAAACGATTAAAGAAAAAGTCGCTTCTTCCAATCCAGGACTTAACCTTATGAGATTCTTAACTGGAAAAGGTTTAGTTTTCGCTCCGATGTGAGCTGGACGAGGAGATCGAGGTTGTGCTGAGGGTGGCAAGGAGGGAACAGCGGCCGTAGGAACGGGTGACTCCGGGGTTTGCCAGAGAAGAGCCTGGCCTTGGAGGGGGGACACTCGTACCTGCTCCTAACCTGGCCATCATCCACTTCCAGGTGGAAGCTCATGATTCTTCCAACAACGACGCTTTGTCCGGCTCCAGTGACCTACTGGATCTCCTCCTGCAAGAAGATTCTCATTCGGGCACCGAATCAGCCGCCTCGGGCTCCATGGGCTCGGGATCCAACGGGGAGAGCACCTCTGCCAGCGGAACCAGTAAGTCCAGGAACCAGGTCGCGTGGGAGGATCTGGGTGAGCGGCCGGCGCTTCGCCGTCAGCCGGGGCTCCGTTTCGGAACCGGAAGTCCTGCTCTCGAGAGATTTTCACCAGCAATTTCTCACTTGCCGGGTGCCTTCCCCCCCCCCCCCCGGTTCATGGTACGGGGAGAATTTTTCCTGTATCCAACCCGCTTCCCTTCCCCTTTCCTGCAGCAAGCAGCAAGAGTAGCAACACCAGCAAATACTTTGGCAGCATCGACTCGTCCGAGAACGATTTACGGGCCAAGAAGCGATCCGAGGTGGAGGACAACGAGCACTTCATCAAATACGTCCTCCNTTCTTCTTCTTCTTCTTCTTCTTCTTCTTCTTCTTCTTCTTCTTCTTCTTCTTCTTCTTCTTCTTCTTCTTCTTCTTCTTCTTCCTCCTCTTCTTCTTCTTCTTCTTCTTCTTCTTCTTCTTCTTCTTCTTCTTCTTCTTCTTCTTCTTCTTCTTCTTCTTCTTCTTCTTCTTCTTCTTCTTCTTCTTCTTCTTCTTCTCCTCCTCCTGCTGCTCCTCCTTTTCCTTCTTCATTTCTTCTCCTCCTCCTCCTCATTATTATTATGATAATGATATTGTGGTCGTAAGTCAAGGACCAGCTTACTTAAGAGGAAGGCCCAGGCGTGTAAAACATGGAGGATGGTGTATTTCAAGGAAAGCCGTGGAAGGGCTGACCTCTTTTCTTTCCCCTGTTTCCTCCTCTTCCTCCTGGCCCCCCACTTTGCCCCCTCCCCAGATATTGTCATGATGGAGGAGACGGTGCCCAGCGCCACCCCGCCCGTCCCTCCGCCCGGTCTGACCCCCGACCGCGAGCAGCAGTACCGCCGGGTGGGCCTGACCAAGGAGGTCTTGTCCGTCCACACGCAGAAGGAGGAGCACGCCTTCCTCACCCGTTTCAAGGACCTCAGCCAGTTGCGCGTCTTCAACTCCCCCTCCAGGCCCAGCTGGCAGGAGCTGCATCGGCCCCGGGGCCAGGAGGAGCGAGGTGATCCTGGAGGAGGGGGAGACACGGGGTCGGGAGTAGGGTGGAGCCCTCCTCTCCTCCTTTTCGCTCTTCCCCCCCCTTTGCTACCTTCCTTCCTTCCTTCTTTCTGCCCCCCCCAGCCCTTCTGCCACTGAGCAGGTTCCCTAGTTGGGTCACGAAACGTCTGCAAGAAAACCACCCAGCTCAGGGTCCACCAAGGACCCCCACAGTCGTCGTCGTCGTCCTCCTCCTCCTCCTCCTCCTCCTCCTCCTCGCTTATCCCCCTCCATTCTTGCACTGATGATGTCCCCTATTTGGGTAACAAAACGTCTGCAAGAAAACAACCAAGCTCAGAGAGCATCAAGGACCCCACAGTCGTCCTCCTCCTCCCACACCCCCTTCTAGCACTGATGGTGTTAAGTAGTTGGGTCATGAAACGTCTGCAAGAAAACAACGAAGATCAGGGACCACCAAGGACCCCATAGTTCTCATTCTCCTCCTCCTCCTCTCCATAAGCCCCCCTCCCTTCTAGCACTGATGATGTTCCCTAGTTGGGTCATGAAAGGTCTGCAAGAAAACAACCAAGCTCAGAGAGCACCCAGGACCCCACAATCCTCCTCCTTCTGTAGTTCTCTCCTCCTCTTCCCTGTTCCTCCTTCCTCTTTCTCTTCCCTCCTCCTTATTCTTTCCTTCCTGTTTTTCCTCTCCTTCCCTCCGTCTTCCTCTTCCTTCTCCTTCCTTCCTCTTCCCTCCGCCTTCGTCTCCTTCCTCCTCCTTCTTATCCCTCCCTTCCTCTTTTTTCCTCTTCCTTCTCCCTCCTGCTGCCTCTTTCCTGCTCCTTCCTGCCCTTCCTCCCTCCTCCTCCTCCTCCTTCTCACCTTCTTCCCTTTCGCTTCCGCAGGATCCAGAGGTCTGCGCCATGGACCTCGTGGGCCGAGGCGCGGCCGGAAGTCCAGGGCCAAGCGCATCCGGCAGAACAAATCCTCAGACAGCTCCAGCTCTCCCCAGACCTCAGCTGGGTCGCCCCCCCAGATATCCTGTCCCCCAGCTGCCCCCTCTTGGGCACCCTCGGGCCCTTCCCCGCCCACCCTCCCAAACATGTCCTACCCGGCCGTCATGCCCACTTACCCGATCCCCGTCTTTTCTCCTCGCCCCACGGTGCCCCCAGCCGCCGAGCCTTCGCAGACCCTTTTGCCAGCCCTTCAGTTCCCCGCCCCCCTCGCCACCCCTATGGTGGCCCTAGTCCTGCCCAATTACGTCTTCCCCCAGATCAACAGCCCCCTTCCCCAGACGTACTTTCCCGGCGGACCCCTTTTCCCCTTCGGACCGCCACAGCCGGGCAGCATGCTAGCCCCCGGGCCCGAAGCCCGCTCCTCCACCCCGCACTCGATGAGCCAGCCCGAGCGGGCCGAATCCCCACTCTTCGAGTCGCGCTGCAGCTCCCCGTTGCAGCTGAACCTGCTCCAGATGGAAGAGCTACCCAAGCCGGGCGACTGGCAAGAAGCTAGCGCGAGCAGTCACGTGGGACCAGCCGGCACCTCCGCAGACTGGGCTGGCGTGGCCGGCGGACAGGGCGTGGTGAACGAACTCGGCCCTCCGAAAGATACCTGCATGGTGAGCGGCGCCAGGGCTAAAGTGTTCTCAGTCCGTCCGAGCGGAGTCCTCTTCCTGGGAACGAGTCAGATCTCGGATCCCGCGGGAAGGCGGTCATCGCGGACCGTGGGATGGCCTGTCCTTCCTCCTTCGGCCCCCGAGATGCCTCCGTTCCTAGCAACGAGTCGGTTCTAGATTCATTCTGGAAGCTGTACGATCCCAATCCGGGACTTCCACCTTTCTGTTTTATAATTTTTAGTCACTTGTAGCATAAAATAGAAAGATACAAAAGCGAATAATAAGGAACAAAGGTAGGGGAAAGGGAAGGGAAAGAAGAAAAAAGGCTGTGTTGCAGTAAAATAAGGCATTACATTAACATTGATCTTCAGTTTTTTACATTTCTATAGTAGTATGAACTAGCCATTTCTATATCAACAAATCAATCTAAAAGCCAAAATCCAAAAGATCCTTTTTTTTCCGCCTCAAGCACAAAATCCCTAAGCGGTTTCCAAGTAGAAACAAGAGTACTTAATATTCTTTTCTTTCATCAAAACGGTCTATTTATCCATCTCGGCTAATTCACTCATTTTTTGTAGCCATCCGTTTATGGGGGGAATCGCAAACATCCTTCCGTTTTGGGGCATAGAGCAGGAGTCCCCCAACCTTGGCTACTTTATGACTTGTGGGCTTCAACTCCCAGAATTCCTCAGACCCAGAAGGAAAGCTTCTGGTTTAATCTTACATATTCACGTTAAGGATTTTCTGCATTAAAATACGAATCCTACTCCAATGTTTCTGTGCTTTTATCACATGTCCACCATAAACGATTAAAGAAAAAGTCGCTTCTTCCAATCCAGGGCTTAACCTTGTGAGATTCTTAACTGGAAAAGTTTTAGTTTTCGTTCCGATGTGAGCTGGACGAGGAGATCGAGGTTGGGCTGAGGGTGGCAAGGAGGGAACAGCGGCCGTAGGAACAGGGGTGACTCCGGGGTTTGCCAAAGAGGAGCCTGGTCTTGGAGGGGGGACACTCGTTCCTGCTCCTAACCTGGGCCATCATCCTCTTCCAGGTGGAAGCTCATGATTCTTCCAACAACGACGCTTTGTCCGGCTCCAGTGACCTACTGGATCTCCTCCTGCAAGAAGATTCTCATTCGGGCACCGAATCAGCCGCCTCGGGCTCCATGGGCTCAGGATCCAACGGGGAGAGCACCTCTGCCAGCGGAACCAGTAAGTCCAGGAACCAGGTCGCGTGGGAGGATCTGGGCGGGTGGTCGTCGCTTCGCTGTCAGCCGGGGCTCCGTTTCGGAACCGGAAGTCCTGCTCTCGGGAGATTTTCACCAGCAATTTCTCGCTTGCCGGGTGCCTTTCGGGGGGGGGGGGGGCCAAGTACCATGCCCCTCTTAAAAAGGACATAGGTTGGGCGAAGGGAAGGGGAAAGGACGTCGTTCGTCGTTCTCATCGTTGTGGTCGTTTATGAAACCGTCGTAGCTGAGCAGGCTCTTGCTAAATGCCCGGTTCTTCGCTAGGCTCCACCTCCTGTTGCTCGTGAAGTAGTTTATGCAGGAGGAGGATCCCATCTGGCTGCTGATGGCGAACACCGACGACAAGGTCATGATGTCGTATCAGCTCCCTGCCAGGTGAGCCGCTTCCCACGGCCCGCTTCTCATTTTCGCTCGGTCCTCCCGGGATCCAGATTTTTGGATTCGTCGAGAGAGAAGAAAACGGGAGCTTCTTTTCCGGTTATCGTTAACGGGGGACGCTGGAATTAGGGAGGGGGCTTTTTGCTTGCTTTAATTTTGGTTGAAGTCTGGGGGACGGGGGGGTCACTTCTGGCTCTTAGGGAAGTCCTGTGGCATTTCTGACCGTCTTGCCCGCCGGTGTCTCCTCCACAGGGACACGGAGACTGTCCTGCGGGAAGATCGGGAGAAGCTGAAGCAGCTGCAGAAGCAACAGCCGAGGTTCACGGAAGAGCAGAAGAAGGAGCTGGCGGATGTCCACTCCTGGGTCCAGAAAGGGGTCCTGCCCAAAGCCATCAATGTCACGGTGAGGAGGCAACCGGCAGCGTCCGGGTGAGGGGAGGGATGAGGGGAGCAACGAGGGGGCACTGGAATTAACAAGAGTTGAAAGGGACCTTGGAGGTCTTCTAGTCCAACCTTCTGCTTGAACAGGAGACCTTATACCATTTCAGACAAATGGCTGTCCAGTCTCTTCTTGAAAACCTCCAGCGACGGAGCACCCACAACTTCTGGAGGCAAGCAGTTCCACTGGTCATGTCCTCGCTGTCAGGATAATTTCTCCTTAATTCCTGGTTGCTTCTCTCCTTGACTGGTTTCCATCTGTTGCTTCTTGTCCTGCCTTCTTCGGGTGCTTTGGAGGATATGTGCCCCCCCCCTCTTCTTTGGGACAGCCTCCCAAATATTGGAAGATGTTATCGTGTCTCTCCTCCCCCCTCGTCCTTCTCCTCGTTAAATTAGACATACCCAATTCCTGCAGCCGTTCTTCGTATGTTTTAGCCCTTCTAGGCCGTTAATCATCTTTGTTGCTCTTCTCTGCGCTCTTTCCAGAGTCTCAACATCTTTTTTATATTGTGGGGAATCAGCCCTGCTTGTCGTTTAGCACACAAGTGTTAATTTACGCTCGTTTTTTGGTTGTCGTTGGCCCTTGGTCGATTTATTGACCTGAAGCAAGGGAACCACGGCTCTCTAGACACATACAGGGAGTCCTCAGCTTACGATCGCAGGCAGTTGAGGCCGTTTCTGTGGCTAAGCGAGACCAGTTATTTAATGAATTTTGCCCCCCCTCCCCCCCGTTTTACGGCGTTCCTTGCCACCGTTGTTAAGGGAATCCCTGCAGTTGTTAAGTTAGTAACTCGGTCATTAAGTGAATCCGCCCCCCCTTGACTTTGTGGGAGGGTCGCAAAAGGGGAATCGCGTGACCCCGGGGGACGCTGTGACCGTCGTAAGTACAGGCCAGTTGCCAAGCGTCTGGATTTTGATCACCTGACCACGGGGATGGTGCAATGGTCGTAAGTGTGAAAAACGACCAGATGTCACTTTTTTCAGGGCCACTAAATGAAGGGTTGTAATTTGAGGACCACCCGTAGAATATCGGCTACCTAACCCCAACCTTAAACCTTAAATGTAACCTTAAACTTAACCTTTAACCTTAACCCTAAAACCTTAACCCTAACCGTAACCCTAAGCTTAACCCTTAACCTTAAACTTTAACTCTTAAACCTTAATTCTTAACCCTAAGCTTTACCCTTAACCCTTAAACCTAACCTTAACCTTAAACCATAAACCTAACCTTAACCATAAACCTTAACCCTAACCTTAACCCTAACCCTAATCTTAAACCTAACCTTAACCTTAACCTAAAGCCTTAAAGCTAACACTAACCTTAACCCTAGCCTTAACCCTAACCCTAAACCTTAAAGCTAGTCCTAGCCCTAGCCCTAAAGCAGAGGTCCCCAACCTTTTGGGCACCAGGGACCGGTTCCGTGGAGAGAGTTTTTTCCGCGGACTGGAAGGGTGCCCTGTTTTGTGTGCTGCCTGCATCCCACGGATAAGGCTTCGGTTGTGTGGACCAGTTGCTGGCATGCTGAGGCCCGGTACTGGTCCATGGACGGAGGGGTTGGGGATCCCTGCCCTAAACCTTAACTCTTAAACCTAACTCTAACCTTAGCTCTATCCCTAACCCAATTAGCCCACACTAAGCTAACCCACCTCTTGTCTTCCTTCCCCTCTTTCTCTTCTCCTCCAGGCTTGTGTCGAGTGCGAGAGTAACGCTGCCTCCCAGGCCGCCCCCCTTTACGACGTCGAGATCCAGGATATGGACCTGAACGGCATGTTGGAGCCGATGGAGGAGGGCACCGGGGCCCAGGTCCCTCTGCCTTCCTCACCTCTGGAAATGGCCATGGAGGAGGAGGAGGCCGGAGAGAGTCGGGACCAGCCGCACCTATTAGAAACAGAAGCGCAAGGGACCAGCTAAGCCCTGAAGAAAGGACTAGTACACACCTTTTGGAGGTTGCTCGAGCGAGGGGAGGCTGCTGAGCGGCAGGAGTCGGACCCCGAGGCAGCTGGCGTGGAAAGGACCCCATGTGTTGCCTTGTTTAATCAGAACTTCCGGACCGGCGGGTCTCCAGGGATAGCCCCCTGCGCTTCGCTGACACCCTCCTCTCCAACTGGACCAGCCGCTTTGATCTTCGCGGCGTTCAGGAGGGTGTGGACCCAGGACATTAGGGAAAGGGGGGCGTGCGCGCGCGCGAGGGTGTTTCGGGTTTTTATGTATTTATTTTTGACAATTTGTCACTGGTTTACTGGGGTGGTTTTTTTTAAAATGATAACTGCAGCCGGGTCCCGGCTGGCAGCGCCGAACGTAGTAATAACGATGGCGATAATAATAATAATAAAAAAGAGGTGGCTTGCAAAAGCGAGACGTCGGCACAGGCCCTTTTTTTTGCCCCTTTGCCACAACTTTCCTAGCTGGAGGTCCGAGAAGCTGCCCTGAGATTCCCCGGAAGAGGTTTTCTTCGTGGGGGTCCTTGGGGGGGGGTTTCTTCAGCTGGGTAGTTTCCTGGCAAACGTCTCGTGACCCAACTAGGGAACGTCATCAGTGCTAGAAGGGAGCGGGGGGGGGTTGCTTTCTGTTTATGGGCAAGTGTCCGGGTCGGTGGGGGTGGTGTTCTTGGTGGTTCCTTGGGTGGGCTTTTGTGTGCTGTGTGTGTGATGGTTTGTCTGAGTTGGTAGTGTGGCAAACAGCTTGTATATAAACGGAGAGCGAATCCCACACTCCCTTCTAGCACTGATGATGTTACCTAGTTGGGTCATGAAACGTCTGCAAGGAAACCACCCAGTTCAGAGACCACCCAGGACCCCACAGTCCTCCTTTTCCTCTCTGCAGACCCCTTCTAGCACTGATGATGTTCCCTAGTAGGGTCATGAAACGTCTGCAAGGAAACACCAACTCGGAGACCACCAAGGGCCCCTCATTTCAACCTTGAGCTACCAAATATTCTCTATTGAGTTTATCTTCACCCAACAAATCAACTTCCCTAATTTATTACCCCCCCTCTCTGCTCCGTTGATGTACATCACTCATACGCTTCCTGTTGTTGCCAATACTTTTCCTGACTTTCCTGGCTCTGGGGAAGAGGGATTTTTTCAGATCCACCGGCCACTCCCATCTTTCTCTTAAAACAATGTTCCAAACTGGGGACTCAACGTGCCAAAAGAGAAATCTTTTCCTGGGGGGAAGATTCCTCGGTTAGCTTCTTGGGATCTGGAGGGAGAGATTCTGGGCTGTGTTTTTCCCTACGGTTTTCCTTCTTGTAAATTCCCCTTGCGCTGTTTGGAACTGCAGTGGTGGCAAAACCAGGACGTAGGAGGCGCTGATTTGACCGCGCCTGGTCACCCACTCCCCAGAAAAGAAATTTCTTTTCTCAAAAGGACAACAATGGAGAGCAAATATTTTAGCCTGGCTTTTTCCAAGCAAAAAACCCCCCCGCAAACATTGAGACGACAAATCTTTTTGTTCCTTTTAAAGCAGTGAGGACAATTAACCAGTGGAACTCCTTGCCACCAGAAATCGTGGGCGCTCCATCACTGGAGATTTTTGAGAAGAGGCTAGACAGCCACTTGCCTGAGATGGTATAATTTCTCCTGCTTGAGCAAGGGGGCTGGACTAGAAGACCTCCAAGGCCCCTTCCAGCTCTTATTCTATTCAACTATTCAAAGCAGTTGGGCAAACTTGAGGACTAGCCTCCAAAGTAGAAAAAGGCTTTCGTGGAGATCAATGGGACCACCTCTTCTGCTTTGGCTGGTCAATACCAGCAGCTGTGCAGCACCATAGTAAGGTCCTTCAGCATGGTCTGGAGGACCTTTAAGGGACCCACCTCTTCCTCCCCCTGCAGGGATTCTTGTGTGGGTGTGTTAAAAACTCAGTGGATTCAGACATCGTCACCCCTGGCTATCATTGGACCAAAATACTGTGCGTCCCGCTGTATGTTGTGACTGTCTTTGAGATGTTTTGCTCGTGTTTGATTCCTGGAAGAGACCGCAAAGCTGATAGAAGTCCAGAGAAGAGAAACCCCTGGATCTCGGATCATTTATGGAAGGATTTCTGGCTTTGTTTGAAAGGACTTTTTCTTCCTGCTATATTTCCCCCCCCCCCCCATGGATCTGGCCGTCCTAGAACAATTCAGGGCAGTGGGTCTTGATTTTTTTCTTTGCACTAAGGGAAAATAATAAAGTTTGGGGTTGTCAAATCCAGCCACTTCCACTTCTATATATATATATATATAATATAAATCTTTCCCATATTCAAAATCCAAACACACACACACACACACACATATATATATATTATGGATCATCACACAGTCAGCCAGATGTTCAGACTGGATTTGGCATTTTGTCTACCTATCGAGTCCTTCCCAAGGACCTGGGATAGGCAGATGTGGATTTTTGATGGTATTACAGATATCGTCGCAGGATGGAAGCAATTCCTAGTAAGGCCGCCTTTTGCAATTGACTAATAGCGAATTTGTCAATGCCGATGATGGTGTTCAAGTGGTGCTCCAGTTGTTTTGGGATTGCATCCAAGGTGTCTATTACTATTGGTACTACCCTTGCTTGCTTTTGCCACTATCCAGACTTTTTTGTCTTTCTTATCGACAATTGTTAAGTCCGGGGTGTTATGTTGCAGGTGCTTGTCTGTTTAAATTCTGAAGTCCCAGAGCAGTTTAATTTTATCATTTATTATTATTATTATTATTATTATTATTATTATTATTATTATTATTATTATTATTATACACACACACACATATATATATTCTTGAAAGGAGAGTGGGTGTCCCGTTGAGGATGATGAAGTGGAAGTGGCTGGATTTGACAATCCCAAACTTTTAATGACTTTTTTTTTTTTTTTCCAAATACCACTTGCAAAACATACAATCTAATTTCCCCAATTCCGGTTGAGGATTGGACAAACCTTCCCCAAATAACATTATAACTTACAGCTCCAACATGTAGGCTTTGCTTAACGGCCGTTCGCAGCGAGGATGGAGGGAGGGACTCTGAAAGGCAGCTTGGCCACAATGTATGATGCTCTTGGCTGTTTTCCAGTAAAAACACCTGTCGTATATGCTGGATTTGCTTAGCGGCCACGGGATCCCTTACAACAACAGTTGTAAAACCAAGTCAGTTTACTCGGGGACCTGCTTAACGCCCCCTCCTTGCTGACTTAACGATGGAAATGGCGTGTTCGTAAATGGAGGACCATGTGTAATTTAAATTTTTGATTATTTAATTTTAATTTTGACTCTCTAGAAGAGAGAGAGAGAGAGAGAGAGAAATGCTTGGAAATTTTTGCTAAAAAGGATTTTAGCTAAATCCTTTTGGCTAAAAGGATTTGGACCCTCGCTCTCTCTTTAACTCTCATCAGCCTCCCGGCCTTTTTTTCATCCTAGTTCTCATTTAGGAAGAGAAAACAATTACCCATCATTTTTGGATTAACATGGAAAATAAATATAGTTCTTGTCTTACGACCCCAACATTTCCGTCGTTAAGCGAGACATTTGTTCAGGGCGTTTTGCCCCATTTTACGACCTTTCTCGCCACAGTTGTTAAGTTGATCACTGCAATTATTAGTCACATGGTTGTTAAGTGAATCTGGCATTCCCCATCGACTGTGTGTCCGAAGGTCACAAATGGAGATTGACACACACACCCCGGAACGCTGCGACCGTCATAAATATGAACCCGTTGTGTCTGAATTTTCATCACGTGACCCATGGGGGACGCTGCAAAGGTGGCAACTCTGAAAAATGGCCGTGACATTTTTCAATGCCGTCGTAGCTTTTCGACGGTCACTAAATGAACTTTTGTAAGTCAAGGGCTACCTGCGGCGGCCTCAGATCTTAATTTTGCATCCGTTGAAAATGTCTCTTTCCCCCCCCCCTCTAGTTAAAGGGAATAAAAATCTCAGGCAGCCATGTTTTGCACAGAGTTATAATAATAATAAAGTTGGAAGGGACCTTGGGAGGTCATCTAGTCCAACCCCCTGCTCAGGAAACCCTATAGTACATTTCAGAGTTGTCACATCGGGAAATACCCATCTCCTGTGTCCCTACCTACATTTTCCATTTTTTAAAAAAATTCTTCCTGGCATGGGTCAGCCCGGATAGCAGGGTACAAAAGGTGGGGAGGCGAAACTGTTTTGCTAGTTGTTGGTCCAACTATTTATTTTTGTATAAAACCACAAAAGTTTGTTCTCTTTCTTTCTCTGCTGCGGAGAGTGTGTGTGTGTGTGTGTGTGAGAGAGAGAGAGAGAGAGAGAGAGAGAATGTGCAAGAACCGATCGAATTTGTGGCGCAATTTCTGTGAATCTGATTCTGCCACCAAATAAAGGCATTTTTGATATTTTTTTTTTCTCACGGTGTCCCTGGCGTGTTTTGGGAGAAAAAACAGGCAGCTGGATGTTGAAGGTCTAGCAGTTGGATCCAAGAATATTTAATTCTCTGCCACTTCTATTACATCCTAGTCTGCTTCAGGCATCTCCGGAATAACAGAATTGGAAGGGACCTCGGAGGTCTTCTAGTCCAACCCCCTACTCAAGTCCTTGACTTACAACTTACAAGCGAGCCCGTTTCCATTGCTGAGCAAGACAGTGAATTTTGCCCCATTTTACGGACCTTTTTCGCCACAATTGTTAAGTGAATCGGAGAATGAAAATCCCCAGAAAACTTGAATGGTGCTCCATGCCTGATCTCAGTTAAAAACAACCAGGTTAATCTGCAGTGATGCTAGAGAAGTGATGGTTAGGGGCCCATTTTGCGTTCTATTGCAGGAATCTGAATAATTTTGCCGCTGGTATTATGCCGACTGGTGCCACGAACCTGAAGATCGGCTTTTCAAAACCAGGTTTGACAAGCAAAATGGAGGGAGGGGTGAGGTGCAAACTACCTTAAAATGGCGGCAAAAATTGACTAAGAAAGAGGAAAACCCTCTGCCTTAGGAATTAGCAGAAGGGATAATGAGGGAGAAATTCTAAGGCAAATGATTTTAGGAAGGTAATGAACACAGTTATTCCTCAATTTATGACCACAATGGGCAGCCATTTGTCTGAAATGGTATATGGGGTTTCCTGCCTGAGCAGGGGGTTGGACTAGATGATCTCCAAGGTCCCTTCCGAATCAGTTATTCTCTCTCTCTCTCTCTCTCTCTCTCTCTCTCTCTCTCTCTCTCTCTCTTTCTTTCTCTTTCTTCCTTCCCCCTCCCTCCCTCCTCCCACACTGGAAGTCTTTAAGAAGAGACTGGACAGCCACTTGTCTGAAATGGTATATAGGGTTTCCTGCCTGAGCAGGGGGTTGGTCTAGATGATCTCCAAAGTCCCTTCCGAATCAGTTATTCTCTCTCTCTCTCTCTCTCTCTTTCTTTCTCTTTCTTCCTTCCCCCTCCCTCCCTCCCTCCCTTCTCCCACACTGGAAGTCTTTAAGAAGAGACTGGACAGCCACTTGTCTGAAATGGTATATAGGGTTTCCTGCCTGAGCAGGGGGTTGGACCACTAGATGATCTCCAAGGTCCCTTCTGAATCTGTTTTTCTTTCTTTCTTTCTTTCTTTCTTTCTTTCTTTCTTTCTTTCTTTCTTTCTTTCTTTCTCTCTCTCTCTCTCTCTCTCTCTCTCTCTCTCTCTCTCTCTCTCTCCCTTCCTTCCTTCCTTCCTTCCTTCCTTTCTTTCTTTCTCCCTTCCCTTCCTCACCCTGCCAACAAAAGTGCGGATAGTCAAGGCCATGGTTTTCCCAGTTGCAACGTATGGATGTGAAAGTTGGACCATAAGAAAGGCTGAGCGCCAAAGAATGGAGGCCTTTGAACTCTGGTGCTGGAGAAGACTCCGGTGAGTCCCCTGGACTGCAAGGCGATCCAACCGGTCAGTCCTGGAGGAGATCAACCCTGACTGCTCTTTAGAAGGCCAGATCCTGAAGTTGAAACTCAAGTCCTTGGGCCACCTAATGAGAAGGAAGGACTCACTGGAGAAGAGCCTGATGCTGGGAAAGATGGAGGGCAAGAGAAGAAGGGGACGACAGAGAATAATGAGGTGGCTGGATAGAGTCCCGGAAGCAGGAGGCGTGAGCTTCAATGGACTCCGGAAAATGGTAGAGGACAGGAAGAACGTGGTCCATGGGGTCGCCATGGGTCGGACACGACTTCGCAACTAACAACAACAATCTAGGTTACCGAGTTGCAGAAAAAAAGGATAAAGCAGACAGCTTAAAAACCAAACCACCTCCCCTAATTTTTTTTTCACTCTTCACTTATCCCGGCTCTATTTAATGATAACCCAATTCCCCAACTTTTTTTTTTTTTTTTTGCATTTGTCGTTTTCAAGCCCCCACATCAAACGCACGTCCCAGGTGTGTAGACCGTTCGATGTGTTACTTGGCTGGATTAAAGAAGCGATTGCGGTGCAAATCATCAGCCGAAATCCTTGCCTGGCGGGCGGGTCAAGCTGCAGACCCCCCAGGCTGCCGTTTCCGAGGTCTTACACGCGCCTTTCCCGAGAGACCCCTTCAGCATCTCCCAACAAAGGCGCAAGTGTACACGTGTCAAGGCAGAAAAAGCCGGGAGATGTTGCGCTCCTCGCTTTCTCCCCGCAATTTCTACGCTGCTCCGGCCAAGGAAAGCCGGGATCCCGAAAGAAGACACCCTCCCCTTCGATCCCCCCGGGAAAGGAAGGGATCGGCCCGAGGGATTTTTAGTAATCGACTCTTTTATGCACCTTCAGAAACACAAAATCTCCATCATCAGGAGCGGAGTCGGACCCAACAAAGCGCCGGGCTGGCAACGGACCAATCAGCGCTCAGCTCCTCTCCTATAAATACCAGCGCCCGCCGCGCTGACGGGCACTCGAAGGGTCCGTGTCGGAGGAAGCGGGTGGCTCGTCTCCAGGATGGCAGAAGTCGCGCCGGCTGCGCCCGTGGCGGCGGTTCCGGTTTCGAAGGCGAAGAGAGTGGCAGGCGCCGCCGCCGCGAAGGTGCAGCAGCGGAAGCCGGGCGGCCCCAGCGTGACGGAGCTGCTGATGCAGGCGGTGGCGGCGTCCAAGGAGCGCGGCGGCATCTCGTTGGCCGCGCTGAAGAAGTCGCTGGCTGCCTCGGGTTACGACGTGGAGAGGAACAACAGCCGCATCAAACTGGGCCTGAAGAGCCTGGTGACCAAGGGGACGCTGCTGCAGACCAAGGGCACCGGCGCCTCAGGCTCCTTCAAGCTCAACAAGAAGCAGGCCGAGCCCAAGGTGAAGGCGGCGGCGGCGGCGGCGGCGGTCCGCAAGAGGAAGCAGCAGCAGCAGCCGGCCAGGAAGCCCGCCAAAAAGGCGAGGAAGGCTCCGGGAGCCGCCGGGCCGAAGAAAAGCCCTAAAAAGGCGGTCAAGAAAGCGCCCAAGGGCGTCAAGAAGCCCAAAGCGGCGGCGGCGGCTAAAGCGAAAAAGGCGGCTAAAAGCCCCGCCAAAGCCAGGGCGGCGAAACCCAAAGCGAAGCCCAAGACCCCTAAAGCGAAAGTGGCGAAGCCCAAGAAGGGCGTGAAGAAGTGAGCGAGTCTTACTTTTTGCAAAAGCAAAAAAAAAAAAAAACCAACCCCAAAGGCTCTTTTAAGAGCCACCCACAAAAATGTTAAAAGGTGCTGCTTTCCACTAAAACAAAACAATTAAGTTGACTCCCTCGCAGGGCTGTTGTTTGGAAAGGGGAGGGAGGTGGTGTGCCGCCATTTTAATCTATTGTCCAAAAGCTACTTATAATTTCAGGCAAAGCAAAAAAAAAGTAAAAGTTAAAACTTAGCAAAAGCGAAATTTAAGGGTAGATGAGTGGAAAACAAGGAAATGAGTTATTTATATAAAAAAAATAAAGGGATACAAATCAAAACATTTAGAGGGACAGTCAAGCATTTTATAGGGCACTGAAACATGGAAAATGTCCAAGTGAATCAAACAAGATAGTTGGGGGGAAAAAGTTGTTTATTGATTTAAGATAACAGTCCAGAAGTGGCCAATTTATGGGTCACATTCCTCCTTTCCAGCTGGTTTTTTTTATCTTAGAAGGTACAAGTGAATGAGGCCTATTCGGTTTCTTAGTTGGTGAAAAGGCAGCTTTTTCGTGTTATTTTTTTTAAATTTGGCTAAAAGGAAAACTTGTGTGGTTTCCTGATTTTCAAAAAAGAGGCAGGGATGCCATGCTAACGGGGAAGCCTAAGCATCCCAGTAATAGCACACCTAATGCTCACCCAGTAGGCAAAAATATTTTAATAGCTTTGGGGGAACCATCCTATAAGCCTCATATATATGTTATTCGTTGCAAAGTCGCCACCCCATGGACAATGTTTCTCCAGGCCTGCCTGTCCTCTACCATCTATATATATTTTTAACATTTATATTTTATATTGGTAGCCATGCTGCCTGAGGAATTCTGGGAGCTGAAGTCCACAAGTCTTAAAAGTTGTCCAAGGTTGCAAACACCCTGCCATATTACAAATAGACTGCCCAAATCTATTGTAGTTCAATCTAGATCAAATTATGGCTTCAATCCCTAATTTGAAGGGGATAAAGGCAGCAGATCCCAATGCTAAGTGAATTTAAAATTACTGGCAATCTGCTCCCAATTCAAGTCTCCCCCCAGATGTTTTCTAGGTGTAAATCGACCGTAATTGGAAATACAGCCGGCGTGATCAGCGCTTTCCGTAGAGTAATTTGGTGGCTCTTAAAAGAGCCTTTGGGTTTCTGAAAACGGAGCGGGAAATTCCTCGCAGCGGCGCTTTTGTTTTGTTTACGCCCGCTCCCCGCGGATGCGTCGGGCCAGCTGGATGTCTTTGGGCATGATGGTGACGCGCTTGGCGTGGATGGCGCACAGGTTGGTATCCTCGAAGAGCCCCACGAGGTAGGCCTCGCTCGCCTCCTGCAGCGCCATCACGGCCGAGCTCTGGAAGCGGAGGTCGGTCTTGAAGTCCTGCGCAATCTCGCGCACCAGCCGCTGGAAGGGCAGCTTGCGGATCAGCAGCTCCGTCGACTTCTGGTAGCGGCGGATCTCCCGCAGGGCCACGGTGCCGGGCCGGTAGCGGTGAGGCTTCTTCACGCCGCCCGTCGCCGGAGCGCTCTTCCGCGCCGCCTTGGTGGCCAGCTGCTTGCGGGGCGCCTTCCCGCCGGTGGACTTGC